TTTTGAAGATCATTGCAGGACTGTGGGGCTTTAATGGCTTGCTTATTTTACAAAGCACTCTGTAACCAACATGCCTGTGCTGTGTGTTTAAATTGAGGTGAGTGGGGAGCCAGAAGCAAGCAGGCATGGATAACCATAATATGTTTGTTTGCTTATAATTCTGTAAAGATACGGTGTGAAACTGGAGCCTTAACGGGCATATTTCCAATGGAGCCAGCCATTGGGTTTCACCTCACAGCTCTGCCAGCCTATGCTGTCTTACTATGCGCATACCCAAATCTGTAGGGTTTTCTTCTAAAGTCTTCACTCTTGAAATCTATGGAATAGAAACTAAACTGTTTAGTTTCTTTTCTTTTATTCTGTTTTAGTAACTAATATTTCTAGTTGCAGGGTTGCCAAGAGAAGTTTAAAATCATGACCCTGAGTTATCTCTAAAGCAGAAGGCAGATGATCTCTATGTGTTACTGCTTTCTTCTTTAAAATCTCGCTATTTTGGAGGGAAGATAGGTCTCACAGGCTTTGTAAACTCTTGGACTTGGCAATAAATAGTGCAAAATATAAGATGTATAATATCCCCAGCATCTTCTGTTGTGTACTGTAGTTTTGTGATCGTGACAGCATCCTCAGTGGATCTTGGTTATGTACCTCCATGTACATAACGTTTCTACTAATTGTAATAGTGGTTTTTTGCAATAGCTCGATTTTACCTTTTATCATTGCACGCTTCCTATAAATTTACAAAGTTTTTTGTTGCAGACTGCACTAAGCTAGATGAAATGGAAAGGGATGGAGGGCCAAACCGTAACAGTGTACTGTGGGGGTAGTTTCTAAAAGGAGGTTGTCTGATGTGTGTATGGGAACTGTTGGACCACAGCCTGAACCTCTGATTGACCACCCGAGGCAAGCGCTGAGTCAGCTGTGGGAGCACAGGTGAAGGCAATGCAGCTGTGCTACCAGAAGGGGTGGAGCCTGGCTGCACCTCTCCTAGGCTCCATTTAAGGGCTGACCCCCACTGCAGAAGGGTGTTTTTCTGGAGAATGTTTCTGGTGGGGTTTACTGTGAGCCTACAACACTGGTGAGCATTTTCATTTATTTTGATTATCTTTCCACCGTGATAATCTTACTAAGCCTAACCTCTGTGTAGCTGTTGACTGTACACCTATTGATTGTGCAACTGTACACCTACTGATTGTGCAAATGTGCCATAAACAGAAGTGAAACAGAGAGCTTCTTCCCCACGTAGACCAATCTCAGGCTACAATAAATGCTCTGGGAAAATGAAAGGCTAGAAATGGTCTAAGAACTGATCAGTAGTTTTTCCTGTAGTGCTCTATGTGCTCATAAGTACCTGCAGGCTGCTGCTAAAACACCATCAGTTTGCAGCTAAGGATGTGTTCATGTGAGTATTTTCTGCAGTTTGAAACTCTGCTTTTAGGGCTGGTCTCTGCTGCCCTCCTTCCCAGCGCTGTGGTTCAGCCCGGAGAGCAGACACAGAAGCACAGTATTGCAGAACCACAGAATTGTAGGGGCTGGGAAGGACCTCTGGGATTCATCAAGTCCAACTCCCCTGCTAAAGTGTGTTCCATGGGTTGCTCCACCACCCTAGCTCAGTTCTAGAATTTTTTCATGCACAAGTGGGACTTTGTGTTACCTGCATAATCTGATGCTTAAAATCTGCATTGCTGGCTGCCTGCCCTTCCCAGGTGTGCTTGTGGACACGTAGAAGCTCAGCCAGCCCTGTGGTGGAGTTTTTTTGCAGGCACACAGCTGGGTATTGGCTTCTTTTTGGGTGTGCTCTATGAATTTGAGGATTTATGTAAGCACTGCGTGGATCCTTGTGTTGAACAAGGGTGATTTAAGGAGCAGAGCTCCTTCCTGAGAATGGCTCTCATACAAAAGGTTTAAGTTCAGTTATTAATTTTAAGGAATTAGACCCTGAAAATTGACAGTATGGCACATTTTTAATTGGATTTTAAAGCCCATAATTAATATGCTAAAAAAGGGGAGATTCTTGTCCTGTAGAAGTGAGTGGGAGTTTTGCCATTGCTTTCAGCAGAGGAGAATTTTGCCATCTATCCTTTTATTCTTGTAACTCCTCCACAACAGCAGGAGAGCACTGGCACGTGGAAATGAGAGTTCCCATTTCTCCTGCCTGCCATTTCAGTAGTGAGGTAGGAGGGGCCTCTCCCCCTCTCGTGCCCACGCTTCCTACAGACATACACCTTGGCGAGATAGCTCTCATTTCATCTGTGAGTAAGATGAAAGCAGCCATTAAAGATGCAGTTTGTTCTTTGTCCTCCCATGCAGAGATACAGAGATCTCTCTCTCCATGCCCGATTGGACTATGGAGTGGCTGAAGGAGAGCAGGATGCTGCCCTCCCTGAGGTCTCTGCATCAGGGAGTCTGTAGGGCTTTAAAGGTCACCGTGCTCCTTTGCCTTCACTGTGTGCCACGCAGAGCTCTGCACACCAGTGTGCTCTGCTGTCTGGGGGCACAAGGAGGTGTGCTGACATTTTGTGTGGCTTCAGTTACAGAGGAAAAGCATCTGAGAACAGAACTCAGCTCAGGGCAGTGTAAGCTGCAAATTGAGATCACTTGAGAGAGGAGCCCCCGGAGCAAGCAGCAGAGATACGTGGCATCCTGTGGGTTTATCAGTAATCATGCTTGGCATTTCTGTCTCTCTTAACCTATATATAGCACTGTATGTTTTCAAAGCTTTTGACAAATGTTAACAATCCAAACCCAGCTTCAGTCCTAACAGCCCTTGTTTCACAGAACCACGCGATGTTTTGCCTTCACCCTTCTGCTCTCACACTGGCCGTACCTGCCAGATTTGGCTGAGCACTCATCTTTCACCTTTATGGCACATGTAGCAAATGTGGTATGAGGTGCTTTGTCTGCCTTGCTGTCTGCTCTCTAAGGTAGGCACTAGAGAGCATCAGAGAACCAAGCAAGCTGAATTATCACCGAGGTTCATTTACTGACAGCTTCTTAAAATAATGCACGCAAACTGTTCACTTAGAATTGCTGCACCATCTCAGATGTGATCAGAGCAGGGGAAATCCTTCTTCTCTGACAAGGGGGGATGAAATACAATGTGCTTAGTAGGGTGTCACGGGCTGTGGAGACAGTGCCAAACAACTGCAGCCCTGGTGTCTGGGGCAGTACTGGTGACAGTGTTTGAATTGCAATTGAGGAACCAGCACAGAAGCAGGACACCAGCACTTGGCTCGCTAACAAGAAGTTTTTTGCCTTTTTTTTTTCTCTGGAAAAAAAAAAAAAAAACACCACAAAGAAAAAAATCTCACTAAAAACTGTACAAGTCTGCAGAGCTGACCAGTCAGGCACAGTGTAAGTGTGAGATGGGGTTATTATTGTCTTGTTTGGTGTGTCCCTATGGTGGGTTGTGGCACACCATAGAGACATCCAGGCTGGCCTTTCTTGTTTCAGGGACTGAGGGGACAATTTGGTATTCTGATGAAGTCTCACTGGCTGCTGCTCCCTCTTCATTGCTTTACCCAGTGAATCCTTTAATTGAGTTACTGTGCTTAATGCCCGGTAAAGTGGCTCAGCTCCAGTTAACACCTCAGCCCACTCTGCTGTCTGGGGTGGGTGACCATTGTAAAACAGACCTGCCTTAGCAATAAGAAGCTTGCAGACTCACTCACAGCAGAGCATATTTTTATTATTAAGTATTTTGATACAATTCTCTTGCCCTCTTTGCTTTTCTTTTTCATTTGGCTTTTCCACTTTGTCACCTCGAAATACATAGGTCTACCATAATGAGATCTCACTTCTTTACCTGCTGAATAGACATGCTAAATATAGAAATCTGAGTCTCTGCACTGAGACATTTGCCTGCTGTGGCCAAGAAGAGAGGTCATACAGATTGCAACTTCAGTTTGGCCAGTGGTGGTTTTTTTTTTTTGTTTTTTTTTTTTTTTTAAGATTGCCTTCTTAGCAATTTTAAGGATAAATAAGTAATAATCCCTTCTCTGCTTATAGTTGCTGGCTTAGGATCTTGGTAGTGCAAGGGATATCTTGTCAACATTTTATTTCAACTCCCTTCTCTCCTAATGCATTTGCACTGTGCTGACTGTGTGGGGATCAGTGACACTGAATTCCTACAGAAAGAGAAACAATGGAGCATTTCCTTGTGGGGGTGATGATAAATTTGAATGCACATGAATACATGTGCACTGAATGAGAAAAGGGGGGGCACCAGCCCTGGGAAGCCTCCATGAAGAGGTCTGAAGGACTCCACTGGTGCTGCACCACGGCAGCCTGATTCACAGAGGCTGCTCTTTGTTAGAAGATGGCTAAATGTGAACACAGCAGACCAGTCTCACTTCTGTCTTACTGCTGCAGCGATATGATTGATATCTGGGGGCAGAAAAATAGCCCCAAAAATTGCTGGGAGCAACTGGAGAAGGTGCAGCTTTAGGAGGCTGTGGGCATGGAAACTTGGGGAAGCAGATGTGAGTTTGGCCACGCAAGGGGTGAGCTGCAGCCTGGGAAAAGCGTGTGGTGCAGTGGTGGTGGTTGCTGTCGGAGGGTGTGCAGGGAGAGATGTGATTTGCTCCCACCTGTGGTGTGGTTAGGCATGGGTACAGCCATCACAAGTACCAGAGCAATTAGCCAGCAAGAGCTGAGCAAGCTGCAAGGTTGACTGAAAATGAGGCTGTAACAGCACAGGGCTGAGGATTCTGGGGACGTGCTGAGGGTTTCGCTCAAGAGCAGTTAACAAGCTTTGTTAGAAATGGGAAATGAGGTGTAGGGAGAATTTTAACAGATCAACAGGAGCTGAAGCTGGATCCATCCACAGTACAGCGCGTCATATGTCCTAAGTTGTTTGAATTGCACTGTGGCCTTGATCGTGTGACTGAGTGTGCACTAACCTGCCTGGGTGGGGAAGGGGTGAGGTGGAAGACACGGGACTTGCAAGTGGAGTGCTCAGTAATGCTGCTGCTGCGCTGACTCTTCTCTCCTCCCCTCTGCAGGTGAGAAGCCTTACAAGTGCTCGTGGGAAGGGTGCGAGTGGCGTTTTGCACGGAGCGACGAGCTCACGAGGCATTACAGAAAGCACACGGGTGCAAAGCCCTTTAAATGCAACCATTGTGACAGGTAATGCAGCCTCCTGATGTGGTGTTTAAGCAAAATGTGGTCCTCGTGAATGGTTGGTGTGGAACTGTCAGACCCTTGGCAGCCTGGAGTGGTGGGGCAGCCCGGCCTCTCCATATCTTGTGTCCCCCTTCCTTAATCCCTCAGCCAAAGGAGGGCACAAAGAAAGGGCTGGATGCAAGTCTCACTGGAACCTGCCCATGTTTGTTGTGGGCACAGGACTCAATCCATAGGGCAGCTTATTTAAATACTCCGTAATCACAGTGGAAGTTCAGAAGGCCCTGGACCTGCTGTTGTCAGAGTAGGTCCACAGAGTATCTCCACAGCTTTCCATCTTGTTATGCCAGTGTCCCTTGAAAAGCAGAGCTCCTTCCCCACCTGCTTCCTTCAAGGGCTACCCCAAGCACCTCTGCTGGCTTCCTGTATGTTGGCAGGGTACTTCATTTTCAAAAGCACTAAAAAAAGACTAATTCAGGCACATCTGACAATTTAAGTTCATGAGATTGTTTTGTGTTGGATCAGTGATTGCTGCATATTCCTGCTAATGAGTGAATCTTTTCTCCAGTTCTAATTTTCAACCTTGATGTCTGTTTGATGTACGAAATATTCTGCCACCTTGTTTTGAGTGGGCGCAGATTTAAAAGCATGGTAGGTGCCTAGAGCCAGGCTTCTCAAAGAGCTTAATATGTAACAGTCCTCCTCTGGGCACTCGGAACTGAAGGACCAGGTTTGCATGGAGAGCTGGGCACCCAGCGATTCCTGCTGAGGGCAGAGGAAGCTGCTGCTTGCAGCCCGCTTTTTGCTGTCCTCGCCACTTCAGCTGCTGAATGAAAAAGCTCCTCTGAAAAATTGAATTGTCCTTGCTTGGTGCTGAGTGCTTTTGAAAGCTGGGTTCTTTGAATGCAGAAACAAAACCAAAAGAAAATCCTCCTCTCTATCCCCAGTCCCAGATGATAAGAAATTAGGGTGGAGCAAAAGCAATTACCACTGTAATGACTCTTGACAGCACTGTCAGGATCGAACAATGAGCACTTCTCCTCAAACCCCCAGCTGGAGGCTGGCAGTGCCCTGGGTAAAACCTGGATGCAGTGTAGAGCAATCAAATAATGTGCTTGCATCTGAACACGTTATCTGGTAATCCTATTTGTACATATATTTTAAAAGAGACTTAAGAAAATTACCTGTCTTTTTAATGCAGCATTAAGGTTCTCTGCTCTGATAAGAAAACATTCTGTAATACAATAAAGGCTCTAGGAAGCCTCTGGGTACACCGGACCAGCAGAGTACATGCATGGAGAGAGGATGTATGGGACATAAACAAGGGACCCCATCCTTTTATGGGAAGGAAATTTGATCATTTTCACATCCTGCCTTTCCAAGTGCTTCATCTCCTTGAGCGCTCTTCTCCCCTCGTCTCCCTTCTTCCTGCCCCCCCTTCTGCCACGGAGAGCCTTTCTCTTGGATTGTTTTTTGCCTTAGCCCTGGATTATTCTTTGTTTTCTGAGAATGAGGGACAGGATAAACTAAGTAGGGACTTCTGGAGTCGTGCTTTTGTATAAGCACCTCTGTGAAGGAGGACATTTGTGTTCTGTTTTTAGTGTAAGGCATTTCCTTTCTCTTTTTTCTCTGAAGAACAGAGTAACCACCCCAGCCCCAAAAGCGCACTAACACAAGCAGTGCATACTGCAGGGTTTCTGTTAGAATCTCTGGCAGAGATTTAAAGAAATAGTCAGTATTTTCAACTCCTTAGTCTCCGTCAGTCCATCTTTCAGCATTCATTCTCCTCCCTTTTCATATTTCCCCTTACTATCTGGGTTTTTGTTGTTGGCAGCCAATCCAGTTGCTACAGTGAAGAGATGCATTTTTGCAACTGTCTAATACATCATCTTTTCCACTTCCAATAGATCTGCAGATAAAAGAAAACAAGATTAATTAGGAAGTTAAGACTGCAAGTCTGTGCACTAAACTCCATGCACATGCTTTTTATGTGTGGCAGGAGTCAGGTTCAGCTTTATTTTCCCAGTTGCAAGCTCACTGACTGGCGCTGCCTGTTCTTTTGGACCACTCTGCCATGCCACTATTTTTCCTTCTTTTCCCATTCATTGATCTCTCTAATACTGTCTATTGCAGATGTCACTTCAAGTGAGCACTCAGATGTGCATAAGTCTGTCCCTAGCCATTTAGACAGATGTCTAATGTTGAAGAAGCTTCCTCCTGAGCCAGAGATCCCAGATAGAGAACAGTTTCTTCATATCTGAACTGCTGCTCTCTTCTGCATCCACCTTTATTGACACAAGGTGTGATCACTCCCACAAACATCTTGGCTTGATAAATCTTAAGGAGCTTTTTGGAGCTACTTTTTGCAATACTGACATCACAGAATTGTTTGGAAGAGAAGGCTGTACCTGGGCAATCAGAGCATAAAAGCGGTGATTGAAATAGTAAAGGGGAGAACTGTACAATTGTGCTTGCAGTTCCCTTCCAGTCTATTTTCAGAAGCAGTTGTATCTATTACCTCCTGGCCACCAACGTGGGAATATTCATATAATCTCTGTACAAGACAATTCTAAAGCAAAAGAGATTAGATGATGTGATGCTGTTCTGCTGCTGTCCCAGCCCAAGCACTGCGTACCCCACAGATCTCATTGTTAGTTACAGCTGCCAGGCCACCGTTGGTTTAAGTATCACCATATGTGCTGCAAATGATATGTGGTTTGGTGGCAGCAGGGGGAAAGGAGAATCAGCTGAGGTGGTGCAGAAGGCGGTGTGCAAGTCCCTCGTGCCTTCCAGACACAAGGGGTACGCTGTTTATCATCATCCTCCAGGAGCTATGCTCTTCAGAAACACAGGCAGCTTATGTTCCTCGCACAGTACGAGGCTTTGGCACTCCAAGGGAAAGAGGATGACAGGGGAGTGGCACTTGCTTGTTACGCCTGTGTCCTCTTGGACAGCAAGTTAAGAGTGCGCTTAGCTGGAATGCACAAATCCCACAGCAGGGAATCCACAGCTGGTAAGAAAGATGGCTGAACAGTACATTCTCTTCTCGTCATTGTTACCTTCCCTCTTTCTCCTGCAGAGACTTCAGTGCTGAGCAGTACTGTGTTGCTAGGGAGATGGAGCAAAAAGAAAAAGGAGCCAATTGTGTTTCAGAGCGGGAAAGTTTTGCATTATGCATCACTGCATGACTTTCAAAATTAGGGTATCTTAACCTAGCATAAACTGTCCTTCCCAGGAAGAGCTGCATTGTGGGGATGATGGGCCCATGCACAGCACACAGTGCTGGTCTAGAACTGGAAGAGGTGCAGAGCCAGAGTTGTGCAGCAAGGTCTTGTCTTGCAGACAGGATGAGGGACTAACAAGCTGCTGCTGCTTTCTGTGTGGGAGAAGGAATTTATCTTGTCAGTTTGTCCTGTGGAGCTTTCTTCGCTGCTGGCTCTTGTTCCAGCAGAGAGAAAATGTGCCTACTGATCAGTAGTGGGTTTTTTTTTCCCCTCTGACATACTTTAGCTGCAACATTTGATAGAGACTGCTTTACTGTTGAAAATCAAAATCTACCAGCCTTACCAATAAATAGAGCTAGCCAAATTAGTCAGCAGGAGAATATGAAGAATTCATGTTGTACCATTTTATTAGCAGGAATTAGCAAAAAATTATGCCATTTTAGTATCTGTAAAAACATTATAGAGCTGAAAAATACCCTGGATACTAATACTATGGTAATTGAAGTGAAGCAGTGGCTTAAATTCATATTTTTAACAGATTTTACTGTGTTGTGACTCTGCACTCTTTTTCCTGGGACGCATTTCTAATACAATTGGAGAGGAAAAGCCATTCTTGGGTAGTGGTCTTATGACTAGTCCTAGGCTAAAGTGCCAGCTGGTGCATGTCTTTTTGGCAGTCACTCGAGCTGTTGTTGTGTTTTGGCAGCCCTTGCAGCTAGAGCATGCTGCTTTCTCTGTTTAGACTGATGAGAGAAATGTTGGTCCATGGGTGTATTTTGGCACCCTGAGGCTAGAAAATTCTAGCTGTGCTGAGCCTGCTGTGCTGAGAGCCAAGTGCCTGTTGTCAGACCCTCATCTGTGTCTCTGCACTTCATGCAGGAGCTTGGAGGAATACAGCCACTATCCCATTCTGAAATCTTTATTTTTTGCCATTCTGTTACAGAAGGGTACTAACCTTGTCGTAAGCTGATAGAAATCAGTAGAGAAAAGCTGGTTTGAGCAGAGTTGTTCTTGTCCTCAGGTGATGAGAATCAAGCTTTTCTTATGAAAGTGCCTTCTTACAAGCTTTCTTTGTCTTAAGAGTTTACCTTTTGGTGACTCATCTTTGTATAGATGGAGACAGACTGCTTGTGCAGCACAGTGCCAGCAAGACAGAAGAGATTCCCTAACTATTTAAAACCTCTTCATTTTCATTAGTTCTTCAATTTCTTAGCCTTTTTTCTGGTTAGGATTTCTATTGTCTGGGTGTTTGCCTTTAGATTGAGGTCACTTTTGTTTTATTTTCTTTGATTGTATAGTTGAATTTATTCTTTTACGTTCTTTCTGAGAAATAAAGAATACTCAGCTACTGCCTTTTGAAAAGTAGACTTACTGCCCACTTGTAAGCTATGGAGATTCTCACAGTAAGCCATTAGTATATTCTCCTAACCGGTATTTTACACTTCTGTATTCTAAAATATAGTGACAGTGAAAAGACATTGCAGGCAAATCAGTTCTGGAGGTTGCTTATCATTACGTCCTCCGAGCCTACAAAAACAATTTATTCAAAAGCCCCAGATACGCGTCTTTGTGTGTGATATTCACAATGAATGCTTCTTGCTCTTACTAAAAATAAATGTGCCAGTGTCTTACGGCTTAGGGTGGAAAGAAAGCAAGCCAAGATTTGCAGGGAACTTGGAAACCTCCCATTTCTACTACACGCTTCAAGTTGAACGCTCAGAAATTTGATTTATTAGGATGTCTCTGTACTGTCTGACAGTTGAGCTCCATCTCAAGGCTTTAGGGTAGGTAGCCAGAGCCACTGTCTGCTTGTCCAGCAGTTTGTTCCCTGTTGCTGTACATACCTTTATAGTGATAGTATGAACTGGGTTGGTGCATTTAACCTCATTTCTAATGGACATGGAGTTGGAAAAATATTCTTGCTTACTGTCAGCCTTAATAAAATGGAATTTGTATTGACTGACAGAGAAGAAAAGCGCCTGTCCACCTGAGAGCCCCTAGTCAATGAGAATATGTTAGTGGTGTGAAGTCTCAGATTTTGGGCTGCAGTTCCTGCTGCTGTGAGTTCCCTGCAGCATGTCTTCTACAAGGCAGTTGCTTTAGAATGGTAATTCCTGATTAACTCTTTTTGGGGTTGCTCTTCTCTGGGAGAGTGTTTGATTCTGAGTATGTTAACTCAATTTCCCAAGTGGATTAAGTAATTTCAGAAGAAGGCAATCATAAGCCTTTAGAGAGGGAGTTAATCAAGAATAGATGCTTCATTTCAAATTCATGCCCTACCTTATCCTTAATTATCTGCATGTTTAGACCAGCCCTAAAAGGCAACTAGTTCTCTAGGGTTGCAGTTCTAAGACAGTCTCATCAGAATCCTTATACATGTTCAGAAAGTTATTTTTAATGAGGAGATGGAGGAACGATGGCTTTGTGGATGAACAACAGAAACTGAAAGTGGAAGTCCTGGCTGTTTAATTCTTGTGTTATTTACAATTTCCTTGCCTTTCTGTGTCTCAATTTTCATGTTTACAGGGTGGGTTTAATAATAACATAATTCAGGGGGATAGCATTCATCAGCATCCACATACTACCACTGAGATTCCCTAGGGAGAAAAGGAAAGATACATAGCCTGGATGATTTCCAGCCCATGAGCTTTGAACCATTTTCTTTCCAATTTGGAGATAAAAATGGGAATTTAGTTTTTGAAACTTATGTTGGTGTTTGTTAAAGGTAGTGATTTTTTAAACTGGCTTTGCTAAGTAAAGCTGATTTGTTTTATTTTTCACCATATGCACACGCACAGACACTATTGATTTTGTCCTACAGGTGCATGTATGAGCACGCTTCTCTGGTATTTCACACAGAGAAAGAGGAGGAGGGAAAGAATCATGAAAAGAGGAGAGTAGTCTATTTAGCTTTCAGCAGCGCAGTTGGCCATCTGTGGTCGTGGTGAATCACACAGAGTTTGGTGGTGATAATCTGAAGAACAGTTCTAAACCAGGATAAATATTTCCTCTTGTATATGAGGAGGGAGGAGCAGGAGCCGGGTTTTTTTGTTTGTTTTTTCTTTTCCCCAAATCTTGATTTCATGTGACATTTGGTTTATTTTGCAGGTGTTTTTCCAGGTCTGATCACCTTGCCCTCCACATGAAGAGGCACATCTAAGTATCTGTCAGCTTGGCATGGATGACATCTGAGCTAAGTGTTGTGAGATGAAGTGGAACTCAAGTTATAATGTGCTGCCTTGCAAGAGAAGAGAACTCTATCACATGTAACCCTCTGTACAGAGACCACACACTCACACTGTCATACACCCAGTTATACTTCAATACATCCATTGGTTCTTTATGCCTTGCCCCAGCTGGATGGGAGAAGATGCAGGCGAGGAAATGCTGTAGAGGTGAAGTCAATGAAAAGGAACAATTGCTTACAGTACTTCGTCTCTCTTGGATTTGTTTCCTGGTTTTGCCAATGGAAAACAAAGGAAATGGAGGAGGCTTCCCTGCAGGTGGACGGCAGTAGGAGGGGCTTATTTAACTTGCTTCTCAGTGCAACTCAATAGGAGAAAATGTCGTCTTGAAGTTGCATATTTGTAGCACTAACTTTCTTTTTAAATAGATGGGGGGAAAACAATGACCTAGAAAACCAAATCCCAGTTTGGTAGCCAAATTAACCTCGTGGTTCATTTGTTCTTTGTCTGAGGATTCCTAATGTTCAATGCATCAGACTTTTCACAGACACTTTGATCTGTCTTGGTTTTTGTTCTTCTTCCTAGAACTGAGCTATTGAGATTCATTTAAGTCAATACCAGTAGCCTTAATGGCAGTAGACTGTGGAGTGACACTTGTTACACAAATATCCTCTCTTTGGCCTGAGTTTATGTAGACTTCACGGAGGACTATGTTTTGGTTTTGTTCTTGTTTTTGTTTTAATTTTTGTTTTGGCTATTGCACAACATATGCACTAGGGACTCTGGAAGCTGCTGCCATGATGGCTAAGTGGCCAAGGGATAAACTTTGAGAAACAGTATCTAATATCTCTGTAGGCCTCACCTTATTGCCATAGCTAGAACTTCTTGTTTATTTGTTGAATGAAAACTTTAAAAGCTTATTTGGAAGCTTAAACCTTTTTTTTCCTCTTTTCTCTACGAACAAGTGATCTTCAGAACTCCTTGTCTGCACCTGGATATCGGTCTGGGACTGGCCACACAGGCATGACTACGGGATTCCTTCCACATCATGTGAGCATGTTAGCCACAACTCACAGTGACTTAGTGATGAATTATGTTGCTTTGTCTCGCAGTTCTTCTAATAACCAATTTAAAACATTAGACTTTTGTTTGCGTAAAGAGCACCTGCAGACATTTTAATTTAAACTTGATGTTTTTCGAACATCTTACACACTCACATACAAACAAGCCAAAAATCCTGCTCCAGTCTCTGAGTGGGAAATAAAGAACTTCTTCCAAGTACAATGGCTTCATTCAGCATTAGCCTTTTAAAGAAATAATGAAAGTCCTCCTTTTCCATTCATCAAGTTGATGCTGTAGCCTGCTCCTATGTGTAACAGTGTAAACAGTGAAGGAAGGGTTGGGTTTTACGTACAGCAATGAGACTTTTCTGAATGATTGATCTAAAGTGCTAATAACCTTGAGGCCCGTTTTGGCCTACTGTGTGAACCATCAAGGGAAAGTGAAGGTCTCATGCTCACCCTTCAGTCCTATTGGTAATTTGATTTTGTTGGGCACAAAGTGGATTTAAAGTCTTTGTTACAAAACAAACAAAAAAGCATCTTACGATAACTCATGTTTGAAACTATTTGGCGCTGGCCCTGACTCCAAAGACTGCATTTAGGACCATGAAGATGGCTTGTGCAAGCAGGCGTGTGGTCATTAGATTGTATACTTTGTATGTTCTGGGACCATCTCTAAAGGATGACTAAAAATTAAACAAAATGGTGCATGGTCCACAAATGGTTGCTGCTCTTTTATACTGTATTAGCCAGCTGCCCTTCTTTGACTGTTTTGACACATTGACTGTTAAATATTTCCCTTAATTCATGTTTTAGGAATTGAAACTGTACTCTTGGGGAAAAGAACAAACAAGAAACTCAATAGATGTTTAAGAGCTGTCATCGGGATCCTTGGCACTTGAATTCTCAGAATTTTGCAACCTTTGGTTCCAGTGAGAGATTGAATTTACTCAAAAGATGCTGGTTTTCCTCACAGTTCTTGCAAAGCACTGTGACTGTCAACTGAATGCTTTTGGGACAGGAGGGAAATACAATGTCTGGCCCATATGGCATGAAATATGGACCAAAATCTAACCATCTTTTAGGGGCAATGATGTAACATTCATGATAAGAGAGGGAGAGAGAGAGAGAGAGCAAAAGTGAGTGAGAGGAAAAGAAAGGTAGAAGAGGAGAAAGAAAGAAAATTGAGTTTATTCCAAAGATTTAAAACTAACCATGCTATGTATACGTATGTGGAGCACTGCTTGCTGACAATCTTGTATTTCTCTGCTTCTGTGTTTGCATACTTTTTATGACCATTCCATCCAGCTGTTCTACTGGGACTGAGGGCCCTAGAATTCAATTTGTATTGGAATATATGGAGCATCCTGCCAGATGTCTAATGGAAACTGAAACCGCAGCTGTGTGAAACCATAGAACATCCAGTCAGTGCATTACATTAGAAAAAGGTTAACAGAATCCTAGAATTTCATTACTGTAGCATCCTAAAGTATATGCTCTCAAACTCACTGCTATGGTACTCTTTGGCTGTGAACCTGCATAAATATCTTTCCTTGACCTCTGAACACACCTGCCTTTAGACATGCTAACAGTAGCCTACAAATCATAGTTATTAAGTGTCAGTTTAAGTACCAGTTATTCCAGTTTTCATTTGTGGTCTTGTTGATGTCTCATTTAAATATGGCAGAACAAGGGCCCCATGGGAAACAAACAAACATGCTGAAATGTATGATTATTTTGTTCTGAAGACATGCTTACAATTTAAATCCTGGGTCTATCTAGCTATAAAAACATAGAAGAAAAGAGGATAGCAGACTTAACCAGATTTTAGACTTAACAGGCTCTTTCTGCTGCAGGTCTTGAACTCTGAAGCCAAATTTGGGGCTTTGAGACCATCTTTTCTGTTTCTTAAGGGAGGTGTTTTTCACAAGTGTGTTGTGTATTCTGTCTGTCTTTGCACTTCAGTTCTTGGGTTCTCTTTTGCAAGTGTCTTAATCATTACTGAAATTTCAAACCTTAACTTGTATTTTGTAGGAGTCTCCATTTTGGAAAGGCACATTCCAGGAGTCATTTTTTACAATGACAGCTTTTCTTTCCTTGCAGATATTTCAAGCTGTACACTTCAAACCTGAGTAATGCATTATAGCTAGATCCTTTTTGGACTGTATCCCCTTGCTAAAGTTGTACAGATATTCTCTATTTATAAATTATGAGTAGAAATAGACTAATAAGGAAAGGCAAATCCATTCTATAGGTCTTCTTTGGAAGCAAAACCATAAATAGATGATTTGGTAACGGCAGAACAGCAGCCAGGTCTTTCTGGCTTTTCTGAAGTAATTCAAATGTGATTTCCAAGGCCGTGGAGCTGTAGAATGAGAACAAATTGAGACAAATATCACGGAAAATAGTATGCATGGAAGAAATGTCCCTTTCTGTGAATAGTAAATAGCATTTTGGAGCAGAGCATAGAATCAATCATAGGAGAATGCAGGTGGGAGGGGAGGTCCAGAGGCCCAGAGGCCATCTCAGCCAACCTTTACCTAGAGCTGGGTGCTCAGGGCTGTGTCCAGTAAGTTTTTCAATGCTACCAAGGATGGAAACTTTGCAGCTACTCTGGTATAGGCTGGTCTGGTATTTGACCACTTAAATGTTTAAAAACAAACAAAAACAATTGAAAGATAAATCTGTATGTCAAGTAGGAATTTCCCATGTTCTGACTTGTTTGCTGTCTCTTCTACTGTGCACTGATATGAAGAGTCTGACTTCATTTTCTCCACCATCTCTGTAGGGTGTTTGTAAACATTAATAAGGTCTACCCTTTTCTCTTCCTAAGATTTAACTGTGTCCACAGCCTCTGTTCAACTGTCATGTGCTCTGGCTCCTGATCTCCTGGGTGGAGCTCTGCTAGACTTGCTTCAGTATCTCATTAATTTTCTTGTAAGGGAAGACCAAAACTGGACAGAATATTCTGGATGAAGATGTACTTTATATGTAACAGTGTTGAAAAATCATTTAGAAAGTACCAGTATCAAGATTTTTCTAATCGGATTTACTAAATTTATTAATTATGTTTATGGAAATACATTTTTTATACTGCCAGATTGAGGCCTGGCAAGCAAAAATCTGTGTTTTCTAACACAATCATCACTTTTTTTTTTATCTTAAACTGGAAAAATGTTATCACTAGTATCAAACACGGGGACGTATATTTTAGTCACTTTTTAGAACAAAGCAACACTTCAGTGCATCTTTGCGCTGCTGTTTTTTCCCCCTTAGGAGAAAAGCAACCTAAAACATCATGGGTATTTTATAAAGAGTAGTTTAACAGGTTTAGAGAGTCAGTTATTTTTCATTGTCTCAGATTTTCTCTCTTTCAAGAGCCAGCATTCAGTCTAGAAAATTATTTCACCTGGATAGACTAGGCAAAGGAACAAAAGAAATCCTATTTCCAGGACTGAAATCCTGCATTTATTCAGTGTCTTGGACAAAGCCCTGAGCGTTCTGATTTAAGTGAACTGTTTTTTAAGTTGAGGGTAAGATTAAGTAACCTCCAGAGGTACCTTCCAACATTAATATTTTTTTGTTCCTGTGATTCATATCAGAGCCCTCTGTAATTAAATGTGTACTGGTTATGGCTCTTCTTAGTCTTGCTCCAGCAGAGCAAACTGTAGAATGGGCCTGTAGGATTTTTCTCTAACTCTGATAGTTTAATCCTTATTACCTTTGTTTCTTCATGAGGAAGATGGAAAAAAATCTTGAAGCAGCAAAAAACAACTTAGCAAAGCAGTTTGAAGGAATATCTTATCGTGAGATGTGTCACAGCTGCAGGGACCAACCAAAGATTGTGGAAACAGATTTACTAGCCTGGAAGACCTATGTTATGTCTCCAAAATGATTCCCAGTACCTGAAATCTCTGCCAACTTTTATTTCTATAGAAGTGAATAATAAAACCTTTTCTTCCTTTTCCATTCTTACTTGCCTCAGATATTTTGGATTTGGGTTTGCTGTATTATTAAAATACCACATTTTCACTTAATACCCAGAAAACATTGACCAAACATGATCAGACAGAAGAACCTAAATGCGAGAAAAGCCTCCAGTCCCTTGATTTTTGGGACTGTTTTACCTTCAGGTCTGAAAAAGGATAATCACAAAGGTTGTGGCTAAAATGGAGTTGAATAATTGCAGTGATTGAGTGTATTTTATCTATGACCTTTTTGATATTTACAGAATCAGGCTTTCTTCTTCATTTTATCTGACTTGAGACAATTTGGGCTTTTTTAGCCGTCTCTAACACAAAGGTTCCTCCTATTTAACAAACTTCATTTGTCTGTGTACAGAAGAGGTCATAATTGGTGCTTTTGGCAAAACTGATGAAAATCCAACCGTCTTAAGGGTTTCCTTTTGTCTCTCTTTTCCTTAAGGTATCAAAATCTTTAAATTTAGGAAAAAAAAAACCACCAGAGGATCATTTTTACGTAATTTGATGTTACCTGGTTAGCATCCAGTTAATCAAGGGCTTTTATTCTTGATTTTATTCAGGACATAGCACATCTAGACATTCCATCCAGCAAGACTGTTTTTTAGCTTTTGTATTTCTAGGTGACGCCTTTAACCCAACACTTTTTGAAGTACTTTTTGCTGATTTCAGATAGAGTTGCCCTTGCAAAGGTCATCGCATATCAAGAACAATAACAGTGCTTGACTAACTCTGTGGTTTTGGCTTGAAAATAGAAATTATTTCCTCCCAAGATTTTCCAGATGCTCATAGACAAATCTTGCCTGTCTTTCATGCACATAAAGTCTACACCTTATTGAATGATTATTTCCAGATCATCCCTGGATACTTTTCTTCCTTGTGGCACGTTTGCATCTGTTTTTGTTGATAGTTTAGAGTCAGTTACTGCAGTCTTCCTCCTCCACAGATCTACACTGGCTTCAACAGCAAGATTTAGCATCACAAGAACCAAAGGGCCTGTCCTACTTGGTTTTAAGATCTGTCTCATAAAGCTGAGACTTTCCTCCTCCCTTAGAGGAAGAGGTCCAAGACATACTTGTACTATATAAGTTATATATATAATGATGTAGTTGTATATATAAGTTATATATATAAAAATGTGGAGATGGTGGGGTAGGCTGCCTTTATCACCTCAAAGATGAGTTTCCCTACCAGAAAGCTTTCAAATGCAGGTGTCATTTTCAAACAGGGTTTTATAGTTTTTCCTTATGCTTGTTAATGGTATTTTTGGTGTGATAATTGAAGTGGAAACTCTTCACAATTTTCCAAATGAAAGCTTTGATGATTTTTTTTAAGTGCTTTGGTCCTGACTTCTATATACTGCCAGAAAACAGGTTCTCTATCTCTGTGTGTGGCAGTACAACAGTCTACTGTATACACCTACACAGAAGAGGAAACTGAGCTACTGATTTACAGTGTGTAGTAGCCAACCGTGCCTATTGCTTTGATTTAGGGAGGGCACCTACTGTTGTCACTGCATTTTAGGAATCATTTCAGCTTTTGTAGGAAAGTTTTCAACGATTCGGGGAAATACATGTTGCTGTGTACTGTGAATGATAGGCTGCAAACTGGGGATTGGGAGGGGAGGTAGGAAGGGAGGGAGATGTGGGCTTAGCATGTACACACTGAAAATGAACTAGAATGGACAGAAAGGTGACAATTTTAGCCTTTATTATTGGGCTTCTTCGGGAAATAAAAAAAGCTAATTTGCAGTCCCTGAAAGGCCTGTTGGCTGAAGGGTTGATCTTTATATTTTGGAACATGCATTTTCCTATCTCACTGTATTTTAAAAACCAGGCCTGTCAGAATCTGGAAGTAGATCAAAACACTGGTTTGCACACTGCTTTGTTACCAAGGCCATGTCTCTACCGGGGAAGTTGCTCTATATTGAAACATCAGTCTAGTTAAGATCACTTTGTAGATGCACCCAGTAATCATTTGCCTAGACTGTATTTACATTGGCATCTTATGCAGTTAAGCAAAAGTGTAAGAAACGATTAAACCAGTTAAGATACAAGAAGGTTCTTGCACCAGTTTAAGTGTATGGTTTTGTAGTCACTGCATATAAACCATGACAGCTTTTCTCTTAGAAACAAGGCCTTAGTTTTGCATGTCTGCTCATCTGAATTGGAAAAATAATAATGCAGGCTGTGAATTTTTTTATTGCTTTGCAAAATGGCCTGTGTTCTTACTTATCCTTTAAAACCTTTCTTTCTTTCTACTTCACATTAGATTTTTGTTTGGGGGATTTTTTTTAGTAACAACAATAAAAAGTATGAATGCTCCTGATTTAAAAATAAATAAATATATATATATATTGCTTGAAGGACTTTCATTTTGCACTATATTTTTTCTTTTACCAGATGTGTCTGACAAGTGCATTTTGGAGATGCCCTCGGTCACGTTCTCTCAGGCCAACTCTGGTATTTCTAATATATCACAGAAGTACCCAATCTTGTAGCCCTCAGTTCTGCCTTTTTTTGACATTTTATTTTTTTTAGGCTTTTTATATATATATATATATATATATATTACTTTGTCAGTTTTTTTGCTGTACAAAAGTCTTAAGATTTAAAAATATTATTTGTATTATATGATGGTGGTATGTTAATGTTACAAAATTATTAATGAAGAAAAAATTTATTTTTGTTACTGGTCTGTTTCATAATTCTTTTTTAAATTGGTATATTGTAAGATATCTATGCAAAAATGTTATGTGACGCATTTTTATTTAAGAATGTAATATGTGTAATAAACAGTAGAATGTGTTTGGCCCAACAATGTTTAGTGTGCCTTGTCTATTATTTCTTTTTGAAGCTTCTGTGAACAGTGAAGTCATTTTTGAATATCAGTTAAAGCTATGGTTCAGTAAGAACACATGGCATAAAATACATAACTTCCAAGAATGATTTAGCTTATCAGAATCACATTTTTGGATTTAAATAACTTTTTTAAAGATGTATTTTATAGTGGCTTAAGTGTTGCTTATATCAGTGCTGTTGCACATGTTGTTTTTGGATAAGATGCGTAAGAAAGAAATTTGCAATCTTAAAAGCTGACCAGATTTCCAGATTTGCTTCTGCTGGATTCAGTGAATTTATTCTTTGTCTGCTTGCACTGGTTCAAGATCTTAGCCAGTATTTTTGTAACAAATACAAAGAGCACTTGCATTGTATTTTCCATGCCTAGCTATCAAAATACTTGTCAGTCAGTGGTCAAAACAGAACTAGACTTTGAATCTCCTAAGCATTAATGAGGTGCTCTAGTCTGTGTGTAATGCTGCACTGAAGGAACTGAATGCACTGTTATTCTCTTTGCCCTGCCTCTGTCATTTAGCCTCCCTCTTTAATGTCTACAAAATTGCAAACACAATTGAATCCACCTGGATGATGAAGTACTAAAAATGTATTTGGGGAGTAAATACAGTAATTCTGAGCACAATTACTTTGCATTGTCGTAGAATAAAACGGAATGACTGACTTTTAAAAATCGACCTGTATCCCTTTAAGTTTTTGGTGTCTTGTGATCACACATGGCAGTGACCTAAATGGCACCACATATGAACATCCTGTAAGCCTCATCTAATACAAACTTGCTACCTTTTATTTCTGCAGCAACATGCACTTTCACTGTTGGAAGACCTGCTAGGACTGTTCATGGCAGACAGAAGGTAGGATTGCCCTCCTTTCCTCTGCACCTAAAACTCAGATGACCATTCTAACTTAATCATCTATACTCCCTCTGTAGCTAGTGAAGAGAGATGAATCCAGAGGTGACTCACTCCAGGCATTAGCTGAATGCAAAAGAACTGGGGTGGCATCAAGCATTTCTGGAAAGTCCCACGGTAAGTTGGAAGGTAAAAGTTCCAGCAATGCACATGGGTACTCTGTTCAGTCAGGTCATACATACAGATGTTGGATGGACATGATTTATAGATATCACTGCAGCAGTGGTATCTTGATGTCACTCACAGAGCTTGAGTAATTGAGGCAGTCATGATAGAGTTTGCAGCATACTACTACAAAAATACAGGGCTGAAAAAAATGGTCTCTTTTTGTATGTGGATTTGTACAATGTAGGTATGACTGGAAGTACACACAAAACAGAGTTCCTTCTGCACACAGGATCTAGTTTTAAAGTTATTGGTTTTTTGTTGTTGTTGTTTTCTTGTAAAGACGGGGTTCTATTGTTTCACTTTCTCTCTTCCTTGAAATACTCTGGAAGCTTTTAGCATCTCACCTGCCTTGAGCTTTCTGACAGACTGTTTGTCTAGCCTAAGTATAAATAGTATATCTCTAGTATAAATTAGTCCTCTCCACCTATGAGAGGTTCTTGCAGAGAGCTCTAGAAAAGCTTTTATGAAGGTAACTTGGAGGCAGCATGGCTGGTTCTTTGGCCTGTGTTCAATTGGCTTGAATTGGAGGAAGGATAATCAATTACAGGTAACCACTTAAACTGTTTGTTTTCCAGGAACTTTCAGAAAATGCAGTGCTTTACACTTCCTCTCATGAACAGGCAGTTTATATAGTATAACAACAGCTTAGCCTGCAGGATCAGCTGTCAGACACTTCCTTGGGCTGGAGACCAGGGAATGGAAATAGTGTGAAAGAAACACCTTCCCTCTGAAATTGTTCAGGTAGCACACAGTCACACACCTTAGGCAACTCCCACTGTTGAAGTGTGGAGTTGTGTAAGGAAAGATTTTTTTCATTTTCGGGGTTAGATTGTATGTGAGCATCTTGTTGGACCTGTACAATGCAAACTCATGTGCAAACTTTGCATAATTTTCCAGACAGTTCCTGTCTTTCAGATGCACCTGAGCAGAGTGGAGTGGTAAAACCTGGGCATAGGAGTTCTTAAACCTTCCTCAGGCTGATGCAAGCTGAGTGAGCTCAACACTTTATGGGCAGGAAATTTCTGTGTGAAGTGCGTGGCTATCTAGCTATTTGTCCATTGTATTCCAGTTTGAGGCTCATATTTAATATTTCTAATTTACTGAGGTAATCAGAAGCTAATCTTGCCTTCATGATCTAGTCTAAATGGTTTTAGCAAATCTAAGACTAGCACTAGTCCCGTAATTAAAGAGAAGTACAGTTGAGTGATGGCATTTAAATGGTATTTTGGGGCATTTAGGAAGGAGAATAGGAAATTTCCTACCCTTCAGCAAAAAGACCTCTTATCCTTTTGGCAGATAGCTGCAAAATAGGTGAAAATTCCTAAAATTCAGTGATGAAAATTGTAGCCTTCCAAGGTGAATATTTTGGTCCCTGAAATATGCATTTACTTCCACCTGCTTTTTTGTGACCCTGGGATACTGTGTCTGGCTGCTACTACAGTAATTTGGAAGCAGGAGGATGGGACAGTCCCCTTGATCAGAACAGTGCTTAATGCTTTGGAAAATGGTCTGAATACAGCTCATGAGTCGTGGCAGAGTGTGGAAGGTTCCAGATACAGATCTTTATTTCCACGTAAAATCAGGTGATCTCATTCCCTGACCTCCACAAGGGGTGAGAGGGGTTTGCATGTTCCTGCATGACACTAACCCTGTGTTCCCAGAGCCTGGGCACAGCGCAGTCCCTGATAAGACAGGAGACAAAAATGCTCCTCCTCACTCCCCAGATGATGCTGGGAAGGACAGTCCATCAATTCAACGTGGCAGGGACCAAGCTGGAGGCGTTTTAGACTGCCACAATGCCAAGGCCTTGAGGAGAGA